AGGCATCCTAGCTCTCTTGGCTGAAATCTCCCAAGAAATGCGCCAATTTTCACTGAAATAGGTAAGGTAATGCTTATGTGAAGACCACTTTGTTTTCCCTCAAGTCGTGTAAATCTTTGGTTTACTTCTCTTTGAACGGTATAAATGGGGAATTGGATTGGGTTTACTTCATTATACGAGTTCTTTTTTGCTCATGGTTTGATTCTTCTATTTAACTAATTATTGTACATGTCAAATTTTGGATTTTCGGGCGATGTTTGTACCGTTTCTAGTTACGAGAGAAAACGGGAGGAAATGGAAGGGAAGGAGCACGGGTTGATGCTGGCATGCGTAATTTCGGGGACCCTTTTCTCGGTTCTGGGTTCTGCATCTTTCGTTATACTGTGGCTAGTGAACTGGAGGCCGTGGCGGATTTATAGGTGATGATTTTCGAATCTGATTATCTCTATTCATTTTTTGATTATCTTTTTGGATCACAATAATTGGGTTAAATGCAGATTTGTTTATTATGATGTTAAAATTATATTAAATGCATCTTGTTATAATATTCTCAAAGATTACTTACCAAAACCAGATTAGTAAATGATATACTGTCATATTAAAGGACCTTAAATAACCCCATGTTGTACTTGCTTGAATGTACTGTGTGGTGAATGCAAAAATTGCCACAGCGTGAAATGACCTACACGAGATGGGATGAAGGAAACTTCTAATTTAATGCGGCTGTGATACGAGGCGAGAGTGATATAAAGCATTTGATATGAATGCTGTTGAAATGGTTATTAAGATTATGATGTATCTCTCAAGTGTAAATCGCAGTAGAAACCAGTTGAGATGAAGCAGGGGAGAACGAGAAATTTAAGGAAATTGTCAGTTGCTGTTAGGCATCGTTTAGTAAGTGATTCAAAGGGAGAAAAGGTTGAATTATTTATGTTAATATTAAATCTTACATGTCTATATTATGGTTCCCGTCATTCGATTCGTTTTTGATGCCTTTTGATCATAATAATGGTAAGAACATTCTATATTTGCAAAGAGAAGTGCCAAAATTAGTTTATCTAACAAATAATTTTAAGTATTATTTTTCGTTTTTCGTTAATAATTTTGCGGCTTTTGATGGTATTTCTTCTGCATACATGTTAGTTACTAATGCTAAGCTTATTAGCATCTGTACACCGCACCGCAATATAATAAGAAAAAGGAAAATATGGAAACTGAGGAGCAAATCGGCGAGAGGTTATATTTTAAACAGACCTTGTGGAAGCATTGAGAAAAAAGTCGACCTTGCGTTGGAAAAGAATTTTCTCTGTTAGGCTTTGTATTCCTGCCAGAATTAAAAGGGGTGGAGGACGTGCTTTATTAATTCTAGAAACATATCTGGAATTTCATCCATTTTAAATGATTGTTTCCCTCATTTCCCCTAGTGGGACTAATGAACATCACCATTGTTTTTTTACCTCACCAGTTTTTGCTCCTCTATATTTTACATTCAACTTCTCAAGCGACAGGCATGCCTGAGTAAAAAAGCCTCTTTATTAATTCTAGAAACATATCTGGAATTTCATCCATTTTAAATGATCGTTTCCCTCATTTCCCCTAGTGGGACTAATGAACATCACCATTGTTTTTTACCTCACCAGTTTTTGCTCTCCTCTATATTTCACATTCAACTTCTCAAGCGACAGGCATGCCTGAGTAAAAAAGCCACCAAAGGTCAAGAATACACAACATAGTTTTGTTACTAAAAGAGCTTTTTTCCTTGGGTAGGTGGGTGCGGTTGGGGTTCCTAATCGGTAGCTTATCAAGAAGTCGTCAGGTTCATAAGCATGACATAATATCCTCTCTAGAAAATATTTACACGTTGTAGCTTGTGAGGTTGATATTTGTTTAAATGACTAGCAAATAAGTGCTAGCTGTGTTTAAACCATGGTTTTACTAATTAATGCCCTCTCTTGATCCTCGATTAGTAATTTCTTGAATTGTTGTAAAAAAAGGCCTTTTACTGAGAAATAACCATTTGTTAAGGTATATCACGTGGGATATTAAATACACTGCAATAGTTGAGCAATTTATGCTGAGAAAGAGTGTGATTGGGTGCCCTCATGTTCTTCCTGGCTTTTGGGGATTAACATGTAGACTAAAATATGCCAATTGTGCCAGAGGATAATTTTTCCTGTTTATCATTTTTTCCTTTGTACTTAGTTCAAGCAACCTGAACCAATTAATTACTTGACATGAAATTTTGGATTTAAATCAATGATTAGAGAACACAGAATCTTGAAACTTAGCCCTTGTTTGACATCCATTTTAATGAGGTTTTTGCTGGGGAAAATGAGTTTTGGAATGGTATTTTTTTTTTTTTTTGGAGAATGTGAGGTTAAAAAGTGGGAAAAAGTTTTGAGTTTAAGTGCAAAATATTATATTTTGTGAATGTGTGGTTGAAAATGAGTTTGAGAAAAAAGGAGTTTTGATTTAGAGCTTGTTAGGGAGAGTTTAAAATCCAATTAAAATTGAAAATATAACTATTATTGGGCCTCACCCGTCTAATAAAAGTCAACAATAACGATTAATTTTTCAATTTTAATCCCATTTTAATCTCTACCAAACACACTCTTAATGTATGTCAAACAGGGGCTTAATACTAATGCCAGTATATGACTTTTTACATGAATCTTTCTTGCTGTAACGATTCTGTTTTATCTTTGACCTTTAAAAAGACATAAGCCTTATAATGGTGTTGCTTTTGAGAGTGAGCTGGAAATTGAACACAACTGTATATTTGTGTGCTTGTATCCCTGCTATTTATACTAACTGAAATGCCAAAAAAAAAAAAAAAGAAAAAGAAAAGAAAAGATGCATTGGTTGCCCTAGGAACTCATTATAATTCTTCTTTGTTTATCCAAAGAGAGGTTGTGTTTTCACTTCTCATTCATCTTTTCCTCATCATTTAACTTTTTTCATCATCACTTTCTTTTTGTTATTATTGTCATTTTGTTGCAAATGGCTGTGGTGATTTGGTGTGAGAGGGAGAGTTTCTGGAGAGAAATCATTGGGGTGAAGTATTGTGTAATGGAGGGGGATGGTGTTCAGGTGAGGGTCGTGGATCTTACGGGGTGAGCCTATGGAGGTATATTCGACGAGGATGGAACGACTTTCGGAATAGCTTGACTTTTGTGGTGGGGAATGGTAATAATATCAGATTTTTGGATGATTGTTGGTGTGGAGATATACCGCTAAAGTTGTGGTTTCTTTCCTTGCATCGTATTACTATAATGCCTTCTGCTATGGTGAATGACGTTTTAGCCACCAACAATGGGAGTTACAGTTGGAATATCACTTTTCAGATAGGTTTGCAGGATTGAGAGTTGAATGACTATGAATTGTTTCTAACGGACTTGTATGAGGTGCAAATTCGGGAGGAGAGGATGATCGTAGCCGATGGAGGTTGGCACGGAATTGTACTTTCTCAGTTCGCTTTTATTTTAGATTCCTCTTGGGACTAGTGGAGAGTTCATTCCCCTGGATGATGGTGTGGCGTTGCAAATTGCCCCCACGGGTAGCATTTTTATTGTGGACGGTTGTGAGGGGACATGCATTAACGATGGACAATCTCAGAAAAAAAAGCTTTTATGTTACTGAGTGGTGCTATATGTGTAGGAGTCATGGGGAGACACATGACCACTTGTTCATTCACTGTGACGGTGTCCGCTGGCTGTGGAATAGATTGGGTGTTGCCTAGACGTATCGAGGTTGTGTTGCGGGCATGGAGGAGGAAATTTCGTGATAAGGATAGCAAACTCGTATGGAATCTTATCTTGGGATGCATTGTTTGGTGTGTGTGGAGGGAAATGAACAATCGATGCTTCAAAGACCAAATACGGACCACAGAGTAATTTAGATAATTTTTTTATATGACTTTGTATACTTGGTTTAATGCAGCGCCTAGCAATCCTATAGAGGGGCTGCCTAATTTTATATCTTTTCTTTCTTGTTTAAACTGATTATGCACTTCCTGTGTATTCTCCTTTGATTAATAAAATTTTTCATGATATGCTGGGCGATGGTAATAGTTTGATTGTTTTCCGGTTCTTCGAAATCTCCTTTGTACATTGGTAGTCCTTAGGAATAAAAAGAGCTAGAATATGATCTTCCTTCGCTGAATTTTATTTCTTTTGTTTCTGCATTGACTTCACGGATCTTTTGACATAAAAAGACTGAAAATTATTTACTTAGAACTTCTCCATAATATTACATCATGAAATTTGATGTTTTAAGGTTACCCATACATAGCTGGCTATATTTTTTCATCTTGGAGAATTCCTTTAGGGTCAGGATTGTCTACTTTTAAGGCTGTATTTTTTCTATCCTTGTTAGTTCAGCTGGAACCCTTTCCCAACCACGTGGGTCAATGCTCACCCTTTTTAACAAAAAATAAAATAAAAATGTAGTCCTGCCGAATATTGACATGTCTTTTGCTTTTTATCCTTTAAATAAGACGCATAACCTGCTTGCTTATTTCACTGTATATTCATCAAACACTTTTATCTCGTATTTAACTGAACATTTTTTTTTTGACCTTTTCAGTTGGATCTTTGCTAGAAAATGGCCAGAATTTTTACAAGGACCTCAGTTGGGAATCTTATGTGGTTTTCTCTCTCTCTGTGCATGGATGATTGTAATTTCACCAGTGGTGGTACTTATTATATGGGGAAGTTGGTTGATTTTGATATTAGGTCAAGACATAATTGGTCTGGCTGTTATAATGGCTGGAGTTGCTCTTGTTTTGGCATTCTACTCAATTATGCTTTGGTGGAGAACACAATGGCAAAGCTCAAGTATGTATCATCTTTTATTAGTTACCCTCAAGCTTTTGTTAGGGGGATTGGCTCTACCTATATTTCCTTCAGCCTACAGTCCAATGTCCAGTTTTTCTAAATAAAATTGATGTGGAACCTATTTGAATATGATTGGTCCCACATTAATTGACGTGGTGGAAGAAAATAACACCAACCTTTCCTGGGAAGCTAAGAGTGTAGATTTTTAATTTCCCAGCTTCCAATGGCCTAATAGGACAAGTTACCTTATGTACAATCTCTCCTTTCACTATTTCTGATGCTCAACCTATTTCAAATTCCATTTCTTGAATGTTTCCCAACTCATCTAAAAATTATTTTTGCTATTACTTTTGTAAAATTATGGGTTTTTGAAACCTTTATACATATGATATCATATCTTAATTGGACAAGGATGTGATGTTTGAATGGAGATAAGTGTAACATGTAATTTATTGCCTTTAATATTCAGTTAAAACTTTCAGGTCGTCCTAATTATTCTTTGTTAAATTCTGAGTGGTGTTTTCGTATCTGGATTATTTGATTATGGCTCAAATATTTATGGGCTACTTTAAATAGAGTAGACAAAAGTTGGAATTTGGATGAGCTCTTAGTTGTGTAATAGTAAGTTTACTTAGTGAAGAGTTGTTTAATATTTGTTGGAATTGCAAGTTACTCAGCCATTTAGTTAGAGTCCAGCATTATTCTTATGCTCTTTATGGACATTTTCTATTAAGTTTATATTCTCTCGTCATGTTTACCTTGTGCAGGGGCCGTTGCTGTTCTACTTCTTCTGGCTGTTGGATTGCTTTGTGCATATGAACTTTGTGCTGTGTATGTTACAACTGGTGTAAAAGCATCAGAGCAATATTCACCTTCAGGATTTTTCTTTGGTGTGTCAGCAATTGCCCTGGCAATCAACATGCTTTTTATATGCAGGATGGTATTCAATGGTAAGCCATACAACTCTTTTCTTTGGGCATCAAAATGTTCTGTTTGAAATTCTTGAGATGGAAAAAAAATTTAACGACACGATCTTATCTTCATTAACTTTGTTAGAAGACAAAAGGTCACAAGCAAGATTAGAAACATGAAGAACAGATTGTAGGGTAATGTTTGGTGAGATTTGATTTAACTTTTGCCTCCAGCGGATGACAGAAACATTAGCAACTCTAATTTTCAAATCGCCTGGACAAGGATTGTAAGGAGAAAAAGAGTAGATAGACTAGTCGTATGGTTTGATGCACCAGAGTCAATAATCCATAGTATTAATCAGGGTTGAAGTTCTTAAAGGTTGTTAAGGTATTAGCTTTGTGCAAAAAACACAAGGGAGGAGAGATTTGAGAGGTTTGGACCAATAACTTGTAGAGAAGGTTTTGACTTGCATAATACTGGATGTCTCTCAAAAGAATTCCTCTCGGAGAAGGAAAAAAAGGACTACTGATAATATTTTATAATAGCTGGAATTATTATTATTATTATGTTATTTTTATTTTTTACATCAACTCTAGTGGGGAATTGATAGATTTAGATGGGGTGCACTGATTCCATTAGGAACCATGTAGAAATTCAAAGAACAAATTGTAGTAATTCTCATTCATAATTCTAGGAACCAGTTACACAATCTACAAGATATAAAAATAAATTGTAAAAGGCTAATCTAGCCTTAAACTAGGAATTTACAAAATCATACAAATTAATCAAATCTGATTTTCTCACATTGTATTATTTCCGTTTTGTTTATTGATTTATCTGTAATCCTTGTATGAATTCGAACAGGCAATGGCTTGGATGTGGATGAATATGTGCGAAGGGCATATAAATATGCTTACTCGGATTGTATTGAAGTGGGCCCGGTGGCTTTCTTAACAGAACCACCAGACCCCAATGAGTTATATCCTCGTCAATCTAGAAGGTGAATCCTATTTTAATTGCTCTTCAGTTATGATGTTCTGTTAATGTTTCCTGTGATTTGATCGTGAGACTTCTCTGGAGATTTTCTTCAGTATGCTACCACAATTGGTGCTCTCACATTTGCGTTTGTGAACCAAACATTTTGTATGCAGTTGCGTATATGGTACATTCATGTTTAAAATAGGCTTCTATATAGGTCAACAAAGGTTTTCTAGTTTACAGGTCCATCCAGTTTTTTTAGGGTGTGTTTGATAGGGAGCCAATTCCATGGAAAATGGAAAATTTCCATTTTCCCACTTTTCCTTTGTTTGATAGGTTTTTTTTCTAGTTTCCTTGGTTTTCCAGGTTTTTTTTGTTTATTTTTTTTGGCAATTAGAAAAAATTCTAGATAGAATGGTAAAAAAAAATTATCACTTTTATTGACAATTTTCATGCAAAACAAAGCTAAACAAATGATATTTGGTATAGTAATTTTTTTTTTTTTTTAAATTTTTTGGCAAATGGAACAAATTCTAGACCCAATGGTAGAAAAAATTATCATTTTAATGGATAATTTTCATGAAAAACAAAGTCAAATGGACACCAAGCTTTCAACATTTTCCAAGTGAAAAATTATACCAATCAAACACAATTAATTACAATTCCCAGTAAAATAATTTCTAGGCAATTCAATTATCTGAAATTCATTTTCTTTCCACCCATTTTCCAACATTGCAATCAAATGGACCTTTAGTTTTTATAAGTTATGATTCCATATTTTATTTTCTTTCAGACTCTATCTTTGCTATTACTTCGATAGTTTTATTAACTACATTTATCTCTGCAGGGCTTCACATCTTGGGCTTCTATATCTTGGTTCCATTGTTGTTCTGCTGGTATATTCCATCTTGTATGGCCTGACTGCAAAAGAGTCACATTGGCTTGGAGCTATTACATCGTCTGCTGTTATTATTCTTGGTACGCCAACTACATATATGAGTTCTATTATTATGATATCTGCAATGCAGCTCTGTTCTTTTTTTTTTTTCGATAAATAATATATTTCATGATATATTCTGCCTCACGTCCTATTTTCTTCTGCTAGACTGGAACATGGGGGCATGCTTATATGGGTATCAGCTTCTTAGAAATCGTGTTGCCGCACTTTTCGTTGCCGGCTTATCTCGGGTTTTCCTCATATGCTTTGGAGTTCATTACTGGTTTGTTCCAGTCTTCATGAGCGGATATACTTTAAATGAATCTATGATACTACATGGCCTCATGACTTCTGCTGCACCTCCTTTGTTTCAGGTTTCTAGGACATTGTACCAGTTATGCAGTTGTAGCTTCTGTGCTACTAGGTGCAGCTGTTTCTCGTCATTTATCAGTTACAAACCCATCAGCTGCAAGAAGAGATGCATTGCATACTACAGTAATTCGCCTTAGAGAAGGATTTCGTAGAAAAGATCAAAACAGCTCATCTAGCTCGTCCGAAGGCTGTGGTTCAAGCGTAAAACGTAGTAGTAGTGCGGATGCTGGTCACCTTGGTACTGCTACAGCACCTTGCACCGGCGAGGTTACTAGCTGGAATAATGTTGAAGGGAATCACAGCGATAAGAGCATAGACAGTGGACGACCAAGTTTAGCATTACATAGCAGTTCCTATCGTTCAGTAGTTCAAGAAACTGAAGTTGGGCCTTCATATACTGATAAGAATTTTGACCATAATAGCTCTTTGGTGGTTTGTCCTAGTAGTGGTATGGAAAGCCAAGGCGGCGAGTCAAGTGCTTCAACCTCTCTAAATCAAGCAATGGACTTGAATTTAGCACTTGCATTCCAGGAGAAGTTGAGTGATCCACGGATTACATCTATGTTGAAAAGGAGATCAAGACGAGGAGAGCTTGAACTAACCAGTTTACTGCAGGATAAAGGTCTAGACCCTAATTTTGCTGTGATGCTGAAGGAGAATGGATTGGATCCAAGGATCCTCGCGCTACTGCAGAGAAGTAGTTTGGATGCTGATAGAGACCACCGTGACAATACTAATACAAACATCGTTGACTCGAACGGCGTTGACAACGTGCTGCCTAATCAAATTTCATTTTCAGAAGAACTTAGGCTCCGTGGATTGGAGAAGTGGCTTCGACTGTGTCGACTAATGTTGCATCATATAGCAGGTACCCCAGAACGAGCATGGGTTCTCTTCAGTTTTGTCTTTAGCATTGAGACCACCATTGTAGCCATTTTTCGCCCGAAGGCAATACACCTCATAGATGTCACACACCAACAGGTACGGTCAGCGTTCTTACCTGATAGATTTGTCAATTATGCATGGATGCATTGAAGTTAAGAACCTTTTTCAACTGCCTAATTGTTTCTTTGTTCATTACTTCATTTGTAGTTTGAATTTGGCATCGCGGTGCTGCTTTTATCTCCTGTTGTCTGTTCAATCATGGCTTTCCTTAGGTCACTTCAATCTGAAGAATTATCCATGACTTCGAAACCAAGAAAGGTATTTTTGACTCTGTTAGATAGAAATTTAATCAATTAACAAATCAGAACGAGTTTCAGGTTAAAGCACTGGTTTTGGTTGTCATTGGATTTGGATGGCGCAAAAGCATTAACATTTGCAGTTCAGTTTGAATTTTTTAATGTACCTAAAAAGTTCAGTTTAAAGTTGTTATTATTTTCCTGTTAAAGAGCTTAATATTGATTTATTACCACACGACATGCTGCCATTTGCTTTCTTTAATGTCTTCTCATACTTGAGACATACTCTAATAACTCAAAAGTCAAAACAAATTTTTTTTTTTCTTGTGTGTGGATATAAATTTATATAGCTTAACCACCTATAATTTGAAGTGTTGGCATGATGTTACTTTCTAGAGTTTTGATTATTGATTCAGTTCTAATACAGCAAATTATCTCAGCAAATGATTGCTCTGGTTTGTGATACCTTAAGATGTTTCCATTTTATCCCTGTAGCTTCTCTAATATTCATAATGCATGAAATGTATTCTGATGTGCATGTAGGTTTTATATGCAAACTTTACTCAGTTTCTTTTGCATCTACTTGGCCTCTGGAGTTATTATTATTATTTATTTTCATATTGAACTTTACTTTCCATGTTATGCAGTATGGCTTTATAGCTTGGTTGCTGAGCACTTCAGTTGGACTGTTGCTTTCCTTTCTGAGGTATAAAGTAATTATTCTCAATGTCCTTATAATTGCAAACAAATGATTTTGCTTGAAAATTCTCAGTATTTCGTTGAGCCACTCTCCCTCCCTGGGGAAAAAAGAATAACTTTGATGTGGCAGTGAGATGTAATTGGCATTCCTATCTGTAATTTTCTGCAGCAAGTCATCAGTTCTTCTTGGATTATCTTTGACACTACCTCTCATGGTTGCTTGCCTATCGATTGGCGTTCCCTTATGGATTCGTAATGGTTACCAATTTTGGGTTTCAAGAGTTGGTAATGCAAGCCATGCAGGAAATCATGGAATTCTGGGGAGAAAGGAGGTTTGACCTTTAAGCTTTCCGTGCTTCTGTTTTTGTTGTTAGACTGGATGGTGGCCCCCACCACTTATTCAATTTTTTCCTTCTCCACAAAATAGTCATTTTTAAGGAATCAATTTAAGAGTGTAATGCAAAGAGAATCTGTTTTTATAGTTTCTTATCATTTTTGAGGAAGCAGTTATCTTTCATTTTGATATTTCTCATACAAGTGCAATGGTGAGGGCCTTCATGAAAAATGTGCCAAACTTTGCTAAATTGGCACTTCCCTGTATGTAGCACAATAATTTTATGCAGAAAATTAATGAAAAAAATTGTCTCTGCCTCGGTACCATATTGTGTTTGAAGTTATCCTTGAATAGATAATTTTAGTATGATATTGCATCCTCAGTTGTCATTGTTCGGACTTCGAGAGCTGATGTAAATTCATAATTGAAATGAAAAATCTGTATGGTTTATTCTATGTTGCTGGAGGATTAGGCATGATGGATGAGTTCTTGCCTTGAATATGCATTTTCTTGCTGTATCATTTGGCTTTCTTACTAGAAATCTCTCACCTTTCCTGATATTTTTGAATGAATTTTATCTGTGAAGAACTGAATAGTATTTCTTCTGTTTTACCTCTACCCAGTTTTTATGCAGCATTCCCACATTGTTTTTGAGGAAGGAGAGGGGTGGGGGATGGAGGCTAATGGCATCTCTGTACTACGTTGTTAGGGAACTTTTTATGCCTTACAGTTTTCCACTTTTTGTAATCTCTCTTGTATACCTAGATTTTTTGTGTGCCTGGGTCAGTCTCTGCTACATTTCTAGGGAACATTTTATGTCCATAGATTTTTTGTATGCCAGGGTCATAGATGGATTTTGCTTCAGAACTTTGATGGTAACCTGTGGTCTAATGACATCATGTCTGTATACTAACAAGATCATTGACAACATATGTATTGTGAGGGTTTTAAAATTTTCATTGAACTTCTTTGTTTATAACTAATGACTTGACAATTTATTGTCAGGTCATTGTTTTTTTCATTTGCATATCCTTGTTTGTGGGATCAGTGTTAGCCCTTGGTGCAATTGTATCTGCAAAGCCTTTAGATAATTTAAAATACAAGGGGTGGAACAGTGATCAGAATAGTGTTTCATCTCCCTATACATCATCAGTATATATTGGATGGGCAATGGCATCGGCAATTGCCTTGATTGTTACGGGCGTGCTGCCGATAGTGTCATGGTTTGCAACATATCGTTTTTCACACTCTGCTGCTGTATGTATTGGTTTGTTTGCAGGTGAGTCTCATTTATCCTTCCTCTACAATTCCATCCCTTTTTGAGAAAAAATCTTTTAGCATAATTTGTTTTAGTTTTTGAGACTTCCATCATCTTTTGGGTGGCTTATAAGCTTACTTATTTTACTTGTAAGGAGAGACAAAGTATCAAGACTGTACTTTTTCTCTCTCCTCATAAGTAAGCTTATAAGCAAAACAAGCCACCCCTAACATGTTCTTAGTGTAGCACTCCTTTTCTGAGGTCTTGCCACAATCTTTTGTAGCTATTCTTGTGGGATTCTGTGGTGCATCCTATATGGAGGTAGTGAGTTCGAGGAATGACCAGTCTCCAACAAATGCAGATTTTCTTGCTGCATTACTACCATTGATATGCATTCCAGCATTATTATCACTATATTCAGGTTTGCTTAAATGGTATGTAATCTTGCACAGTTTTAGCAGTTGAACCTCACTTCTTGGATGGGACTTGCACCCTAAAAATTAATTTTCAGCAAATGGCATCTTAAAGAGTGATTGAAGACGATAAGATATTCCATATATCATTTTCAGGAAAGATGATAACTGGAAGCTTTCCCAAGGTGCTTACGTGTTCATAATTATTGGTCTTCTTCTGTTGTTTGGTGCAATTTCTGCCATTATTGTAACGGTTGAACCATGGACGGTGAGTGAGCATTGTGGTGTATTCCTCATATTTTATTATATATCATCTGTAGTGGTTGTGGCTAACATGGATCCTCATTTTCTATTATAATAGATAGGTGCAGCATTCCTTTTAGTTCTTCTCCTCCTCGTCCTGGCTATTGGTGTTATTCACTACTGGGCTTCAAACAACTTTTACCTGACAAGGCAGCAGATGCTATTCGTTTGTTTCGTGGCATTTCTTTTGGCTTTAGCAGCATTCTTTGTCGGCTGGTTTCAAGGTAGCATTCTCTTCCCTTTCTTTGAACCCTGTTGCACTGTCAGACCTGTTTTGTCTACTCTGTCAAAATTTATTCCTAAATTGATGTCCTCATGACATATTCTGCCTTGTACGTGACATTGTAAAATCTTTGGTGTTCAACAGGGAAAGCTTTTGTCGGTGCATCTGTTGGTTACTTCTCATTTCTATTCCTTTTGGCTGGAAGGGCCTTGACTGTAAGTAATATCTTATTTTTAAAAAAATCCAGATCTGAAGCATATTACTCATAAAACCTCATTGTCTATACAAATTATCTTTGCTTCAATGTTTTACTAGATTCAATTGTGTGACAGAAACCATTTTTTGCAGGTGCTTCTTTCTCCTCCTATAGTAGTTTATTCACCGAGGGTGCTGCCTGTCTATATTTATGATGCTCATGCAGATTCTGGGAAAAACGTCAGGTTTGCTCAAAGTCCCTTTTATGTACGTGGGGTTTGCTTTTTTCTTCTGTGCTATACATGTGCATTATTTCCACTCCTAAACAAGTTGGATTGTTTCACAAACTACATATTGAGGCATCTTGTCTGATATTTTATCTGTCTCTTCTGAAGTGCTGCATTTCTTATGCTTTATGGCGTTGCATTGGCAACTGAAGGCTGGGGAGTAGTCGCCAGTTTGAAGATTTATCCACCGTTTGCTGGTGCTGCTGTATCTGCAATTACACTTGTTGTGGCTTTTGGCTTTGCTGTCTCTCGTCCATGTTTGACTCTCAAGGTTTGAAGTTTCCATTTACCACAAACTCATTCATACAACCAAGCAATACAAATATAACCTACTGTCATGTTTAATGTGCATATGAAATCTTATGAAACAGCCATCTTGACGCACTTGTTGATCAACCATCCATCAAAATTTTCCATGCTTGCTCATTTCAGCGTTTTGCTTCCTTTTTCGTTCTAATATTTATTTTCTATTAGATGGTGGAAGATGCTGTTCATTTCCTAAGTAAGGAAACTATAATCCAGGCAATAGCTCGATCAGCCACCAAGGTGCGTCTAGTTTTAGGTGCATGTTAATTTCTCAAAATTTTGTTCTTTTTTATCTCTGTAACCAAATGAAGTTTAATTTAGCCGGTAGCATTTGTTACTTCTTTACATCGTACTCTTAGTGATAGAGTACAACTCTTAGGTTTTTTTCTGTATCTTCAATTTGCTGACACAAACATAGTCAATATCATCTGTTTCTTTTGAAGAAAATGTTTTTTTATCCTTTTTACATATATTTAGTCTATTACTCATTTTGAGATCAACTTCCATTTTCCTCACCCCTTATAAAAAAAGAGACAGAAAGAAGAAAACTGAGAGAGAAAGAGAAAAGAAAGGAAGAGAAAGGCAATTATCATGGTACTTTGTGCAAGGATCATCTTCACTGTTCTCATCTGCTTCCGTATCATTTTGTGTTTCATCATTACGGTGAAACATCATTTCCATAATTCAGAGTAAAGATTTCGTAGTTGTTGAAGATGATACAGATGTGAAAATTTGACCTACTGCGAGTTTAATATTGGTAACAAATTTGAGGTTATAAAATTGCATCATGTTCAACTGTAAAACACTGTTTCCTAGAGGGTTCTGTTTTAGTTGATCTTTACTTGATGGAATAAGAAATTCATTGGTACCAGGAAGCAATTACTTTAGAAGTAGAACTGGAATTACCAGAAAGTTTCCTTCATCTTTCTTGTACTTTCGGTTATTTATCTGCTTCAGATATCTTTCAGTTGCTTTCTAAAACGTGCCTGAATCTGGAAAACTTATGGTTGTGGAGTTGATATGTCTTTGTTCTGATCTAAAAGTCCCCTCTTACTCCTCTCAGACGAGAAATGCATTATCTGGAACTTACTCAGCTCCTCAGCGGTCCGCAAGCTCAGCTGCGCTTTTAGTTGGAGATCCCACTGTTGCGCGGGATAGGGCTGGGAACTTTGTGCTTCCCAGAGACGATGTCATGAAACTAAGAGATCGTTTGAGAAATGAAGAACTGGCTGCCGGATCATTCTTCTCCAGATTGAGAAGTCGAAGGATATTGCGGCATGAAGCAACCAGTGATGTAGGTCACAAAAGAGAAATGTGTGCCCATGCGAGAATACTGGGTCTGGAGGAGGCAATTGATACTGAATGGGTTTACATGTGGGATAAGTTTGGTGGTTATTTGCTTCTTTTGCTTTCCTTGACTGCCAAAGCAGAACGGGTGCAGGTAAAATGATCCATACTGCTTGCCATGCATTCCTCATTTGGTTTCACTGATAATGATTGTTGTACCCTTTGTTTGTGCCTGTCCAGGATGAAGTTCGTTTGAGACTCTTCCTTGACAGCATAGGTTTTTCAGATTTAAGTGCCAAGAAAATTAAAAAGTGGATGCCTGAGGATCATAGGCAATTTGAAATTATACAGGAGAGGTGAAATGAGTACACTTCAAGAAATTAAGTCCTATACTCTGCATTTGCATCAGCTTGTCCTGGTATTTCTAAATATTTCTTGATTAATTCTTTCAGTTACATAAGAGAGAAGGAGATAGAGGAGGAAATTTTGATGCAGAGACGTGAAGAAGAAGGGAGAGGTAAAGAAAGAAGAAAAGCTCTTCTGGAGAAAGAAGAACGTAAATGGAAAGAGATTGAGGCTTCTCTTATATCATCTATTCCTAATGCTGGAAGCAGGGAGGCGGCAGCCATGGCAGCTGCTGTGCGGGCTGTAGGAGGAGATTCACTGCTTGAAGATTCATTTGCACGGGAGAGAGTCTCAAGCATTGCGTATAGAATACGTGCAACTCAGCTATCTGATAGGGCACTCCAGGTACTTTAATATTATATCGTTCTCTATTGATCTTCAAATAATACTAGAGTTTATATCTTCCTTTTCGAGGGTTTACTTATTGAGCTATCCAGATGGCGATTGCCGAAATCTTAACTGCCATCTTATGGGGGAAAATTGTAGAGATCATTTTATTCTTTTTTTTTTTCCGTTTAGGGGTTGTGACAGGTTTTGATAGAAGTTTATGAAACGTGTGGTCGGAAAGTTGATAAAAGTTGTGGGTCCCTTTAAATGTGTGGTTAAAATTAAAGTTTGAAAAGTTGATAAAATCTTAGCAAAAGTTGTCAAACAAGCACTTTTTTTTTTAATCTCGCTGCATGGCGGTTGGGAACAGGTAGAAGTAGGTAATTTTGACTACCAAAGTTTTTCAATTAATGGCATAGACTACTAACAACATACTGTCACTTTTACAGACTGGTCTTGCTGGTGCTGTATGTATTCTTGATGATGAACCTACGACAAGTGGCAGGCGCTGCGGACAGATTGATCCTGGTTTATGTCAAAGTCAGAAAGTTAGCTTCTCTATTTCAGTAATGATTCAGCCCGAGTCTGGACCAGTTTGTCTCTTGGGTACTGAATTCCAGAAGATCTCCTTTTCTGAGGTCTTGCCACGACCTTTTGTAGCTATTCTTGTGGCATTCTGTGGTGCATCCTATATGGAGGTGGTGAGTTCGAGGAATGACCAGTCTCCAACGAAGGCTGATTTTCTTGCCGCATTACTACCGTTGATGTGTATCCCAGCATTATTATCACTATGTTCAGGTTTGCTTAAATGGTATGTAATCTTGTACAGTTTTAGCAGTTGAACCTCACTTCTTGGATGGGGTGAGGCTTGCACCCTAAAAAGTAATTATCAGCAAATGCCATCTTAAAGAGTGATTGAAGGCTATAAGATATTCCATATATCATTTGCAGGAAAGATGATAACTGGAAACTTTCCCGAGGTGCTTATGTATTCATAATTATTGGTCTTCTTCTGTTTTTTGGTGCAATGTCAGCCATAATTGTGACAGTTCAACCATGGACGGTGAGTGAGCATTGTGATGGAGTCCTCATCTTTTATTATCTGTCATCTGTAGTGGCTGTGGCTGACATGATTCCTCATTTTCTGTTACAACAGATAGGTGCATCATTCCTTTTAGTTATTCTCCTCCTCGTCCTGGCTATTGGTGTTATTCACTATTGGGCTTCAAACAACTTTTACCTGACAAGGCTTCAGACGCTATTCGTTTGTTTTGTAGCATTTCTTTTGGCTTTAGCAGCATTCCTTGTTGGTTGGTTTCAAGGTACCATTCTCTTCCCTTTTTTTGACCCTATCCCAGTTAAAGAGCAGATTGCACTATCAGAACTGTTTCATCTACTCTGTTGAAATTCTCCCTAGATTGCCGTCCTCATGACATATTCTGGCCTTGTACATAACATTGTAAAATTGCTGCTGCTTAACAGATAAAGCTTTTGTCGGCGCATCTGTTGGTTACTTTTCATTTCTGTTCCTTTTGGCTGGAAGGGCCTTCACTGTAAGTAATATCTGATTTTAACAAATCCAGATCTGAAGCATATTACTCATAAACCTCATTTTTGTAAAATTATTATCTTTTTTTTCACGATGTTTTATTAGATTCAATTGTGTGATGGAAACCATTTTTTACAGGTGCTTCTTTCGCCTCCTATAGTAGTTTATTCGCCGAGGGTGCTACCTGTCTATATTTATGATGCTCATGCAGATACTGGGAAAAACGTCAGGTTTGCTTAAATTCCCTTTGTGCATGTGGGATTTGCTTCTTTCTTCTGTTCTATATGTATGCATTATTTCCACTCCTAAACAAGTTGGAATGCTTCACAACCTACATAATTTGGTATCTTGTCTGATAGTTTATCTGTCTTTTCCGAAGTGCTGCATTTCTTATGCTTTATGGCATTGCATTGGCAACTGAAGGCTGGGGTGTAGTCGCTAGTTTGAAGATTTATCCACCATTTGCTGGTGCTGCTGTATCTGCAATTACACTTGTTGTGGCTTTTGGCTTTGCCGTCTCTCGTCCGTGTTTAACGCTTAAGGTTTGAACTTTCCATTTACCACGAACTCATTCATAAAACCAAGCAATACAAATATAACCTATTGTCATGTTTAGCCTCCGTTTGGTAGAAATTAAAATTAAAATTTTGATTTAATTCAAAATCAAGAGCCACTTATAACCACACATTTTATGGGACTCACAACTTTTCAACCACTCATTTCATCGACTTTTATCAAAATCTAATAAAAATTCTATTTTAATCCCCCAACAAACAGGGGCGTAATGTGCATATGAAACCGCCATCTTGATGCACTTATTGATAGATCATCCAGAGAGTTTTTCCTTGCTTATTTCAGCATTTTGCTTCCTCTTTCCATTCTAATATATCTTTTCAATTAGATGGTGGAAGATGCTGTTCATTTCCTAAGTAAGGAAACTATAATCCAGGCAATAGCTCGATCAGCTACCAAGGTGCGTCTAGTTTGAGCTGCATGTTAATTTCTCAAAATTTTTATTCTTTTTTGTTTACTGTAACTCTCTAACCAAATGAATTTTAATGTAGCTGCTACCATTCTGTTACTTCTTTATTTCACACTCTTAGTTATGGGGTTCAACTGTTTTATTTTTCTTTATATCTTCAATTTATGGACACGTTAACATAGTCAATATCATCTATTTCTTTTTAAGCAGATATTCCATGTTCTTACATTCATTTACTCTAATCACTCATTTTGATGGATCAATTTTCAATTTCCATCACCACTTCATAAAAGAGAGGCAATTATCACGGTGTAGTTTGTGCAAGGATAATCTTCAGTGTCCTCATCTGCTTCCATATCATTTTGTGTTTCGTCATTATGATGAAACATCATTTCCACGATTTAGAGTAAAGATGATTTTGTAGCTGTTGAAGATGATACAGATGTGAGAAATGGACTTGCTGTGATGTTTAATATTTGCAAAAAATTTGAGGTTGCGAAATTGCATCGAGTTGAACTGGAAAACACTGTTTCCTAAAGGCTTCTGTTTTAATGTATCTTTACCTGATTGAAGAAGAAATTCATCGGTACCAGGAATCAATTACTATAGATATAGAACATAAATTACACGAGGAATTGCCAGAAAGGTTCCTTCATATTTCTTGTTCTTTCGGTTATTTCTCTGCTTCAGATATCTTTCAGTCACTTTCTGTAAAGTGCCTGAATCTGGAAAACTTATGGTTGTGTAGTTGATATGTCTTTGTTCTGATCTAGAAGTCCCTTCTTACTCGCAGACAAGGAATGCATTATCTGGAACTTACTCTGCTCCTCAGAGGTCCGCAAGCTCAGCTGCGCTTTTAGTTGGAGATCCTACTGTTGCGCGGGATAGGGCTGGGAACTTTGTGCTTCCCAGAGCCGATGTCATGAAACTAAGAGATCGTTTGAGAAATGAAGAATTGGCTGCTGGATCATTCTTCTCCAGATTGAGAAGTCGAAGGATATTGCGGCATGAATCAATCGGTGATGTAAGTCACAAAAGAGAAATGTGTGCCCATGCCAGAATACTGGCTCTGGAGGAGGCAATTGATACTGAATGGGTTTACATGTGGGATAAGTTTGGTGGTTATTTACTTCTTCTGCTTTCCTTGACTGCCAAAGCAGAACGGGTGCAGGTAAAAATGATCCATACTGCTTACCATGCATTTGTCATTTGGTTTCACTTCTAATGATTCTTGTACCCTTGTTTGTGCCCGTCCAGGATGAAGTTCGTTTGAGACTCTTCCTTGACAGCATAGGTTTCTCAGATTTAAGTGCCAAAAAAATTAAAAAGTGGATGCCTGAGGATCGAAGGCAATTTGAAATTATACAGGAGAGGTGAAACAAGTACACTTTCAGAAATTAAGTTCTTTAATCTGCATGTGCATCAGCTTGTCTTGGTATTTCTAAATATTTTGATGATTCTTGCAGTTACATAAGAGAGAAGGAGATGGAAGAGGAGATTTTGATGCAGAGACGTGAAGAGGAAGGGAGAGGTAAAGAAAGAAGAAAAGCTCTCCTGGATAAAGAAGAGCGTAAATGGAAGGAAATTGAGGCTTCTCTTATATCGTCTATTCCTAATGCTGGAAGCAGGGAGGCGGCAGCTATGGCCGCTGCTGTGCGGGCTGTAGGAGGGGATTCACTGCTTGACGATTCATTTGCACGGGAAAGGGTTTCAAGCATTGCATATAGAATACGTGCAACTCAGTTATCTGATAGGGCACTTCAGGTATCTTCGAATAATATGAGAGTTAAGATTATTATTTCATTCTCTATTAATCTTCGAATAATATGAAATTTATTTTTTGAGGGATAAACTTATTGTGTTATCCAGGTGGTGATTGCCAAAATCTTAACTACCGTCTTATGGGTGGAAAATTGTAGATATCATTTCATTCTTTTTTATTTAGTTATTTTTTTATCTCACTGTGGAGGTTGGGAACATGTAAAAGGAGGTAATTTTGACTACCAAAGTTTTTCAATTAATGGTATGGATTGCTAACATCACATTGTCACTTTTACAGACTGGCCTTACTGGTGCTATATGTATTCTTGACGATGAACCGACAACAAGTGGCAGGCGCTGTGGACAGATTGATCCTGGTTTATGTCAAAGTCAGAAAGTTAGCTTCTCTGTTTCTGTAATGATTCAGCCCGAGTCTGGGCCTGTTTGCCTCTTGGGTACTGAATTCCAGAAGAAAGTGTGTTGGGAAATTCTTGTGGCTGGATCTGAACAAGGCATTGAAGCTGGACAAGTTGGTCTTCGATTAATTACAAAAGGTGATAGACAGACTACTGTTGCAAAGGAGTGGAGTATAAGTTCATCAAGTATTGCAGATGGAAGGTCTGTGAATGTCTGCTTCTGTGTGCACGCTATTCATACCCTTATTTTTTTTCCTGTTCTGTAGTTTGTAAACAACCTATGGGGTCAACGGTTTTTGTCTTGCTTCTTTTCTTTTCCCTTTTCCTTTGTCCACCTGGTTTTCCTTTCAAACTTGTCTGCATTTTACTGCTTACGTTTTTCTTGTTTATATTTACATTCTTCCTTATCTTTTTCAGATGGCTTTATGTTTTACATGAAACTTTTGACTTGCAGGTGGCATATTGTCACAATGACCATTGATGCGGATTTAGGTGAGGCCACTTGCTTCATTGATGGTGGTTATGATGGCTATCAGCCGGGGCTTCCACTTAATGTGGGTAATGGCATATGGGAGCAAGGAACAGAAGTTTGGCTTGGAGTTAGACCACCGACAGATGTGGATGCATTTGGGAGGTCAGATAGCGAAGGTGCTGAATCCAAAATGCACATAATGGATGGTTTTCTTTGGGGAAGGTGCTTGAATGAAGATGAGATTGCTGCTCTTGCTGCTGCTATGGGTTCTTCAGATCACAATACAATGGATATCCTTGATGATAATTGGCAGTGGACAAGTTCTCCTCCAAGGGTCTGCGCCTGTTTTGCTACTGCTCTTTACGTTTTGCTCCTCCATTTTTGCTTCTTAGCATTTCCTCCATCTTACTTGTAGTGTTATCCTTTTGGGCGCTAAACCAGTTCTGATTGCTATTTTATGTGATTTAACTTAGGTGGAGGACTGGGAGAGTGATCCTGCAGATGTAGATCTTTATGACCGGGATGATGTAGATTGGGACGGGCAGTATTCAAGTGGGAGGAAGAGAAGATCAGATCGTGAAGGGGTCGTGGTAGATGTGGATTCTTTTACTAGGAGGTTGAGGAAACCTAGGATGGAGACACAGGAGGAAATCAATCAACGCATGCGTTCTGTAGAATTGGCTGTTAAGGAGGCTCTCTTGGCTAGAGGAGAGTCACAGTTTACTGATCAAGAATTCCCACCTAATGATCGCTCATTATTTGTTGATCCTGACAATCCCCCCTCAAAATTGCAGGTAACTTTCCTCTGATTTTTCGTGTGGGTTACATTTCTTATTTGTCATGTTTTACCGTCCTAATGACTATATGGAATGTCTAAATCATCTTCTTTCTATCATAGGTTGTTTCAGAGTGGATGAGGCCTATTGAAATAGTGAAGGAAAAGCATCTGGATTCTGATCCATGCTTATTTTTGGGAAGAGCAAATCCATCTGATGTTTGTCAGGTTTCTCTGTCTCTGTCTCTCTCTCTCTCTCATACACCAATCAGGACATGAAATCTGATGCCCAAAATTATTTTCGAATTTAGTTGCTTTACTAATGCCTCAAATCTAACAGGGCCGGTTGGGTGATTGTTGGTTTTTGAGCGCTGTTGCAGTTCTGACTGAGGTTTCACGCATATCAGAAGTCATTATTACTCCACAATATAATGAGGAAGGAATTTATACAGTCCGTTTCTGTATTCAGGTGGTTCACTCATGCTTGTTTCCTTTAGTTTGTTCTAAAATCTGCGCAAAATGCTGTGATTGTTTGAAACCATAATTCATAGAAGAGAATTCAAATTTACCAAATTCCAGGCCCCACAACCTTAGCTTTTCATAGGAGAATTTGATGTCTTGACTACTGCTCTTTGATAATGGCTGCGTGGAACCAATGTTGTAAAAAACTAGGCTGGACTCCATGTGATCTAATGTTGTAATAATCAATTCAAATTTGGCTAGTTACTTCTTGAAGCTACTGTATGACCATTTATGCTTTCCTTGTTTTCAGGGAGAATGGGTTCCTGTTGTTGTAGATGACTGGATTCCATGTGAATCACCTGGCAAACCTGCATTTGCTACCAGCAGGAAGGGGAACGAATTATGGGTCTCTGTATTAGAAAAAGCATATGCTAAGCTTCATGGTTCATATGAAGCATTGGAAGGTGGGCTTGTCCAAGATGCTCTTGTGGACCTAACTGGCGGTGCAGGTGAGGAGATTGACATTAGGAGTGCTGAAGCCCAGATTGATCTAGCTAGTGGAAGACTATGGTCTCAATTACTACGCTTCAAACAAGAGGGCTTTCTACTTGGTGCTGGTAGCCCTTCAGGGTCGGATGTGCATGTTTCTTCCAGTGGAATTGTACAAGGGCATGCTTATTCGATATTACAGGTATGTCGGTCCAAGACCTTGTATATAAAACACCTTAAAAACCAGTAGAAGGAATATTGTGTGCAGCGACACTTTTTGCTATATATATCTGTTCAGGTACGGGAAGTAGATGGCAATAAACTTGTTCAGATCAGAAATCCATGGGCAAATGAGGTCGAGTGGAATGGCCCTTGGTCTGATTCATCACCTGAATGGACAGATAGGATGAAGCATAAGCTCAAGCACGTCCCTCAGGTACTTTCGATTTATATTTTCTTCACTGATCTTCAATTATTGATTTGCTTAATTGTTTTGATGTGGTTTCTCTGCATAACCGTGCTCTATGTTCTTTTGTCCTGCTTGATATTATAATTTGGTAATTTTTACTTTATTCATTAAACTATTGGTGTATCCATTTGTGAACAGGCAAAAGATGGTATATTCTGGATGTCTTGGCAAGATTTTCTGATACATTTCTGGTCAATATATGTATGCCGTGACTACCCACCTGAGATGCGTTATTCTATCCATAGTCAGTGGAGAGGATACAGCGCTGGAGGCTGCCAGGACTATGATAGTTGGCATCAAAATCCACAGTTCCGCTTGAGAGCCATGGG